TATTGGGTTGGAAAGAAAGTCTTGCAACACTGCGCAAATTTGTCAAAATTTTATAACTTTATTGAAATGCAATTTCAGTCTACAATGTAATGACCATTGTTGTCTATGACATGTTCCCAACGCACGGGTAACTGCTCGATGCCCTTTGCCCAGAACTCTGGCGATTGCGAAGCGAAGAAACGGCCGACATCATTTTCGAGCTGTGCTCGATCGTCGAAGGCCTCGTCCCGCAGGTGATTCTTGAGGGCCCGGAACAAGTGATAGTCGGAAGGGGCCAAGTCCGGAGAATACGCTGGATGGGGTAAAACTTCCCAGCCCAGTTCCGAAATTGTCTGGCGAGTCATCTTCGCAACATGTGGACGAGCGTTGTCATGCAGAAGGAGAACTTTGTCGCGTTTGGGACGCTCTTTTTGAATGACGCCAGCCAACTTCTGAAGTTGAGCGACGTAGACGACGGCAGTCACGGTGGTACCGGTTGGCAGGCGCTCATAGACATTCCTTCTGAATCCCATCAACAGCAGAGAAGAACCTTCTTCTCGTGGAACCCTGGTTTCGGTTCGTGTGGCGGCAATTCTCCTCGTGGAAGCCACTGACTCTTGCGAGTATGGTCGACGTAGAGGACCCAGCTCTCATCTCCAGTAACGATTTCCTTCAGAAGGTCCTTTATGTGCGGACGAAGGAGCAGTGATTCGCAGACACTGACACGGCTTGCTTTGTCAGAGTCGCCGAGCCGATGAGAGACCCATGTCGAGAAAACTTTCCGATAGCCGAGGTCGTTCAGATGGTTACCGATGGCCATATGTGTGACTCCAAGTGTAGTCGCCGATTCGCGAGTGGTGGCGTTCGGCTTCGCGTCGAGGGCGTTCCGCAGGGCTTCGTCATCGACTGTAGGTGGACGTCGTGAGCGTGGTCGATCTCCGAAGGTCGTGTCGCTAGATTCGAAGCGTTTGAACCATCGAGACACCGTGGAATAGTGGACGACGTTGCCCTTGAATGCAGCGCAGATGTTGTCCGCGGCGGCTCTCGCAGTGTCCTCGGAGGAACTCGTAGTAGACGATNGAAGAGATTCCCTCGAAAAATAATCTGGGATAACCAAGATACTGCGGGCGATGAATCGACTCATACAGAAATCACAGCAAAATGTATGGAGGTATAAACATAGGATGTCCATCTGCAGAAGACCCCTAGCCTAAGTGGACTGATGCAACTGAAGAACTGGGAAGAAGCCACAAAAAAAGAGAGAGAAAGCGAAATTAGCCTAAAGTGCCACCAAACCGTGCAGGAGTCTCGTCAGGAGCGCGACCCTGCTATCAGCTTGAAATGCAGTTGTCCCTTTTCGACATCTCCGCACTAGGAATGAAACAGATTAAGAAGAGGAACAGTTTCTGTCCGAGCAGAGAGCAGATGAGGGTGTCCACAGCTTAAGTCTCTCTCACATTCACCACAAAATCACAAATCATTAGCTGATTGAGTTTCGCACCTATGCTACTCATTATCAGCATTGTATTGTGTTCTATGAATGTGGAGATGGCGATGCTCAGGTAACAAACATCCCACTCAATGTTGCGCAGTAAGAATTTCTTCCTATTGCGGAGATCCGTGCCCGAAGGGTCTCACCACGTCACCAGACTCATAATATGAGAAAGATCGGCAAAGGGAGAAGCCGATAGACTAATATCCCATAACTGGTATTGGATATTTTGGATGTGCTGCAATCCATGTTTACGTATTCCTGCCTTCAAGAAGTATTAGCTGGAATTAAAACCTGTCCCATGTGGAAAAAGGACGTAGAAAAAAGTGAGTAGAAGCAAAAGCAACGGAAAATGAAGCAGAGAAACCTATTGAGTGAGAAGACCAGGA